TGTTCGAATGAGAAGAAGAAACAAGAAAGTTTCGCCTTTATAATTTAAATGAAAAATTCCTTTTGCCTTTCGATTTCAAGACATCCAGAACCTGTGATAGTCTTCAAATATACGACGTGTATCATTTTGAAGTTTTCTTCGATTCGAAGTACGATCGTGGAGGATCACGAGTCTATTTGAATTTCTGTCACTTGCAGCTTGTTCGATACAGTTTCGATAGAGTAGTAACGTAGTTACCATGAAATTTTCTCGTCGTATCGACGAGAGTGTTCGCTTATTCTCTCGAACGCTTTCATCCCCCTTGTTCTGACGTCGGTATCTTCTCGTACTTTTCGCCAGAATTACGTAATTCCAAGTTAAAACCTCGTGAAACGTTTAATCAATCTCAAGGTTGAACTCGTGGCTCCTATTCCATCGTCTTGCCTTGTTCCGATATCGCGCGACCGCGATACGTTTATTCCGAGATAATAAAAATTATAGCTCACGGAACGACACACCATTTTGTTCGTTCACTTGAAATTCAAAGAAGTACTTTGTTTCTATAGTCCGTTGTTGAATTTTAAGTAACCGCGATTTAGAGTTTTGTCAGCTAGAGGAGGAATATTTTTAGCATAAACTGCTATTTAAAGGCCAAGCACTTGTTTCGATTACTATCGATTTTTTTTTTTTAATATTTACATATATTAGAAAAGTTTAACGAGCTTCAGTCACTGCGATATTAATTAGAAAAATTGTATAATTCGAGAATCGCGAATATCATTTGCGATTTAATTCTTCAAAATTATTTACTTTCCTTTGGGTACATATTTTTCTCTAGTTTCTCTGTTCAGTTCTTCGTTCTTCTAGTTCCTAATTTTTTATTTTTTAATTCATTCGACAGAGGCACTGATAATATGAAATTTTTCACTTCACTTGCATTTTTATCAACAAAACATGGAAACAAACCTACTCCACAAATAACAATTTACAGACGTACAGATCTATAATCTTCTTTATTTCGAAGCAAAGTTTCTAGTTTCGAAAAGTATCAGAGATTTATTCTCTTTCAATTATTGGTTGGCAACTAAGTGATTGCGGATTTTGTCATTAGGTGGCATCGACAAAATCCGCAATCACTTAGTTGCCAACCCAATATATTTTCTCCGGATATTTGCAATTTTTCTTGCTCCAAATTAAATTCAATTATACGACGTGTTTTTTTTTTTTTAAGTCCACTTTCTACTTCCTCCTGTGTCAAAATTTCAAACATCACTGATTCTATAACGCCAGAAATATAATCGAGCGAGACCCTCATTTTTACTATCGTTACGTCACCATTCATGAGCCATAACTCAACCTTTTCATCTATCGTTTGGACAATCGAAACACCTCGTATGAAACCAATCTTTCCATACACGTCGTTACTACCCAACGACCATGGAGAAGACAAAGTAGAAGAGTTTCAGGAACCCTCGTCAAACGCTTGTTGGCCGGTTCAACGAGAACAACAGTAGCCGCGGTGAAATCGATTGGAAAAACGACGTGGCTCGTTGACGCTTGAACTCCGATCGACCATTAACCACTCCAGATAGAAACGGTTCGAGAGAAAGGGGAAAATACGGCGCGAGGAAGAAAGAAAATAAGCAAAAGGCAGACGAGTGAAGTAGAAAAGGTTGAAAACAAGGGAAAGCGGAGGCGGGAGAATACGGAGAACGGTCTGAACGAGACAGAACCGATGAAAAGATGGAAAAACGGAAGCTAATGGGAGAGAAACAGAGTAAAAGGTAACAGAAAAGAGAAGCAGGGGAACAGACAAGTGAATGGAATTTTATTAACAAAGGAAGAAACGAAAAAAACGAGAATATCTGCCGAGTGGACAATAACGAAAAACTAAAATGCAACGTGAACGATGTAGAAGATAGAAAAGGGGCAAGTCGTGGAGAACGCAGGAAACGGTGGAAGACAAAAGGAAGAAAGCGTAACGTGGTACGATAAGAGTGGGGATCGAGGAATGGGAGGAAAAGAAACGAAAATGATGAAAATGTAGATAAAAGATAGGCAGGATGAATGGAAGAGAAAAAAGAAAGGAGCGTGGAGAAGGGTAGAAAACGGAGGATGGGTGGTTGGCCCAGATCCTTCCACCTCGATTTTCCCCTTCTCACCCTCTAAAGCTTCCAATGACGTCACCGCGAAGAACGCGTGGGTGTCGTCATTGAATGAACAGACCGACCTGAGTGCTACGTTGTGCGTACGATCCGCCTTTATATACAGGGTGTTTCGTCCATATTAAACTCCTTCATACCGCAATTGTTTCTATCGAAAGGAAAAAATCGTGTCGGGTCAAAGTCGATTTACGACGACGACGATCATCGTGACTTGCGACTAGCGAGAAGCATCGATTCTTACGCGATTTCTTTATAAACGCAGCACAGGAGAGAAATAGTTCTTTACAGTTCTACGTTGTCTTATCGTATCTTTATATTATACATCGTTAGAGTTTCATATTTTATGTTTCTGTTTCGATTTCTGTGTCGTCGATGTTTAAGAATTGCGAGAATAAGACGCAAGCAGCAGAAATATAGAGAGTAAGGAGTATAAGCGGTACATTCAAAGGTCAAGTTTAAAGTCTAAATGTTAAGTACGAGAGATATTAAGCTCAGTGGGTGGAAGGATACGAGCGTAAAGCAAAGAGAAATGTAACTGCAAGCCCCGCTTAATCCGCGAGCAAAGGTTTGTGAAAAATAAATCAAATGTAAACACTGTTGCAGCGGTTATAAAAGATACTCGTACGTCATTGCATTCCTGTGCTAATTAATTAGATCCAACTGTATTTTAAGTTTCCTATCCTGCGATAGTACTTTCTATAAGATTTTCACAGTACGAAAATGAAACGTACCATACAACCTAAGGAAAAGACGGTCCCATTGAAAGACAAGGATACGTACAAATATTTCCAACAGCCACTGTATATCTAGGAATATTAATATCTATCGTGTATATAAAATAAAATCAAGATCCACTTTCCAATATTTCTATCTCTAAATACCGAAACGAGCGAGAACAACAGATATTTATTAACTCGTATATCAAATGCAAACTAAAATTAATATCTACTAACTGATCCAAGACAAACGAAACACCCTGTACAGCTACGTTAGAGCTGTACGAATGCGCGTGTCTGTGTTGGTTGGAGCTGAGATGGTGCACTTCTAGACGCCCACGTCGTCAGTCGCGCCGGGGAAACAGAGAGAGGCTGGACCAACGGGGGTTGGCCGACAAGTATTATCGATCTCGGCCGTTCCAGTCGTGAACCCACGTCAAACCGTGGATCCTTTATTTTTACGTCGTACATCGTACGCAGTCGATGGATTCTCTGGTGACGAAGGACCACGAGATATGAACGCGTTTCGTCGTGATCTCCACGGGGTTGGCTCCATGTCGCGTTGTTACAGGGTTCGGTTCTCACTTGTTAGCCAGGATTTGGCTACGTCGCGTGATAGAACTCGCGTTGTTCCCGATAGTACGGGAGAAAAATGTATTTCCTCGTATTTCCTCGAGTATTAGGTTGTCCTAAAAGTTTCTTTCGTTTTATGAGGAGATAATAGACGCACAATGTTTTTTGTTTTATATTGGTTTATTGAATTATGCACGAATATAATAACAGATGTAGAAATAGATCATGCCTAATTCAATAAAATTATTATTATATTTAATATCTTATATTTAAGACAGAAATTGTTGTTCATCTATTATCACCTTATGAAACGAAAGAAACTTTTCGGACGACCTAATACTAAAGACTAAAGCATAGTTTGCCGTAGATATACGTTACGAGTCTAGAAGTAGCTTTAATTATTAACGCGTTAATAGGAAACGACACGTTTTTGCTGTTAACGTTGTCTTTATGCTCCCCTCTATATTCGAAATGGTTGTTACTTTTACTATGATAGTTTTAATAACTAGCGTAATTTTACTGTCTTTTGCGTATTTCACGTCTTTTACGAACAACAAATTCCAACGAAGGAAGATATACAAAAATACGCAAGGAGCAATGTAATTTTTCTCGGTTTCTTTTTTTTTTTTTAAATTCGATTCTGAAAGGGTCAACGATCGTTTAAGGAATTGTTTAACAACCGTAAAAAAACGCCATTTAGATATCACCAAGCAGCCACGTACGAGCGTGTATACTCGTACAGCAGCAGGGTGAAGAAACGCGTTGACTATGTTTAGAAAGAAACCACCACAGGAGAAGTTCATTGGAAGGTGGTGAAACGTTTGCTCTCGACGTGGCTTCGTGGCACGAAGGGAATACGAGATAAATAGAGATGACGTTCTTACTACTGTGAGGAGGTCTGTATATTTAACCGATCACCGCGGTATTTTCTTCTTTTCTAAACGAGATAGATTGAATTGTGGTGTTTCCATAATTATCCTCGTTTCTCGTCTCTCCTCGTCTCTGATAAACTCGAAAACAAAACAAGTACGTATACAGCATGGAATTTCGATCAAGAATAGAACACTTCGACGATACACGAGATACGTAAATGCTTCTGGTTTAACGTCAATATGCGTCACTCTGGCTTGACAATTAAGTCGACGTTGGGACGACATTATATTCCACGTTCCAACGAACCGGGATTATTAACTCATCGTGGTTGCGTAACATAGCGAGTCTAATGGAACGAAAATTCCCCGGTGTGATATTGCGCCGAAGGTCTTTAACATTCCATTAAAATGCGATATCAGGCAAAACACCGGAGGTGAATTCTTTTGCAGTCTTTTCTATTTTTTTTTTTTTTTTTTTTTTTTTTTTTT